GAGTCAAAAAAAAAAAATTATATATATATATATATATATATATATAAAAGCAAAATAATTTTTTTCTGATGTAAGCATCAAAACAATGCCCTACAGTAGGCCTATTGCAACGCATCAAAGCAGTCAATCCAAGTCAAGGATAACTTAAATTCCCGAATAAAACGCGGTAGCGGTCGGTAACTCTGGTATAGTTTGAACGGGGAGCGGGCGGTCTAACAATATCCCGTTCCCGACGTCCATTCAGAACAGCATAGCTACGCTTTATTCTTATTGACCACCGGTATGCACTCGGACTGTTATGCACGCGCTGCATGCACGCTTTCAGCGTCACGCGTTTTATTTGCGGGGTCTGTGCGCAGCATGTGCATAACGATGCTCAGAGCAGGCTGTACCCGTATTTATTAATTTTTCTCTGCGACTTCCCTACTGTGTTAACATAAAAATGTCAAACGAATTTAGTATATTGTCAAGACGAATAAAAATAGCTAATAGGCTATTTTTGTACAACCTACATTTTTTATTTTTTTTCTCTTTGTGACACTTTTTCCTATTGTGTTGTAAATGTTAAACGAATTGTATCCTGACAACGAATAAAAATAAGAAATACAATTTTTGTACAACATTTTTATTTTCTCTGACACTTTTTTCCCTACTGTGTTGCATAAAATATTAAACGAATTTTGTGTCTTAAGATAATTCATATAAATTCAAGTCAAAGTCAATAAATTCAAGACTCTTGACAAGACGAATAAAATAACATAGGCTACAATTTTGTGCAGACTACACTTTTATTTGTCAGCCTATCTCTCTTTCTTTCAGTAGCGGAAATTTAAATGTGAGATTCTGGAAACGAGATCTAAATTTAGCAGAACGGTCGCGTCCGGAAGAAAATTATTCTAAGCGGACAGCTGGTGAACAAAGAGTGAATATATAGCGGGAGCGGGTGGGTGCGGAATATTAACCTGTCCTTGCGGGAGCAAAACTATTTAAAAAAATAGTCCCGCGCAGACCTCTACTGTGAACTAGCTTTGGCTCTTCCTGCTGACTTGAATGGTGATGCTTTCCGTTTGTCAGTTGATGGCCTTTCCTTTTTAACCAGAAATGTGCACACTGCTTTTCTGATGTTCACTGAAGTTTTCCTGTCTTTTTCCCGTGTCACTTGAAATGTTTCTGATTTGAATCGTTGTTACCAAAGGCGAGACACGTGAGGAAAAAATAAACGATCAGTTGTGGAGCTGTCTGTGGAGGTTTGGCCAGGACCGGTTCCAGAATTAAATCAACATATTTTATGTTCTGTCCATTACCAATCACTGCTATTTCGAGAGTGAATATATAGGCTAAATATGCAGATGTCATTCCCGAAACTTTACAGGGTGTAGCCTATGTGTCAGAAAAACGAAAGTTTCATACAAATTCTGAATGGATTATACCCTAGAAAGAAGCTCTCTAAATTGCACAATTAATCTCTTATTTACATCGTGTCTGCACTTAGTCATGAGATGATTCATGAGCGTGCAAAACTGCACTTAAAAACTGCTGTGCTTTCAGTTGTGAGTGAATTCTGACAAAACGTTTTTGATTGGCCATTGCGTTCAAGAAATCAACAGATATGTCTGTGATTGGTTACATTGCTCAAGGCTGCAAAACACGTTGAGCTTATTTTATCAGGGATTCCATGACTAACAATTTGGTTACAATGTCGCCCATGAATATGAATATATAGAAGTATAATATAAATATATAAATGTAAATCTGATTATATAGAAGTAAACCTGAATATATGAATGTAAATCTGAATATAGAGAAGTACATCTGAATATATAAATGCAAATCTGAATATATGAATGTAAATCTGAATATATAGAAGTAAATCTGAATATATGAATGTAAATCTGAATATTTAAATGAAAAAACTGAATATATAGAAGTAAATCTGAATATATGAATGTAAATCTGAATATTTAAATGCAAATCTGAATATATGAATGTAAATCTGAATATACAGAAGTAAATCTGAATATATGAATGTAAATCTACATTCAGATGTACTTCTACATATTCCGATTTATATTTATAAATTCAGCTTTACATTTATATATTCAGATGTACTTCTATATATTCAGATTGGTATCTACACTGTAAAATCTAATTAGTTGGGCTTACTTAAAAAAAGCATGCAAACCGATTGCCTTGAAAAAACTAAATAAAGTGAAATAGGAATAGTGTTGTAGTGTTGTACTGACAAATGCTTAGTTAGTATAGTTTACTTACACGAGAGTTCTAGTAACTAAAAAAGAACTGTAGGAGGTACTTGATCCTTTCATTTAGGTTTACTCATGACTTAGTATAGCTACTCAATGACTCCCAGAGTGCATTGCGGCATGAATAAATTATGCAGTTGCTTTGTTTTACAGTTGTTGATTTTATTTGACAATTTTATTTGCTGTCTTGTGTCAGTAGCAGCACAACAAAAAGAGCAAATAAAATGGTTATTGTTACAATTAATAAAAATAAATGAAATTGAATTGTTACCATTGTTGTGATTCACATGCTGAATGTTTAAGTCTGTGCGTGAATTTAGCATGTTACCACACACTATTTAAGGATTATATAAACCCAATTAAAA